GACATGCGACACAGGAAATCATTACCTTCCCACATAACCTTGTTTTAGTTTTTTTTGTGAGGATAATATTGGTTTTGTTTTCTTCATTTTGTAGTCTCTTCGGTTCTTGTTGTTGTTGTATTTTCTTTTGTGTTGATATCTCCTCAGTTCCAGTTGATTTGTTTTGTTGTTTTGGTGTTTCTTCGGTTTCTATTTTTGTACTCCCCTTAGTCTTGATGTCTATTTTTGACCCTGCTGTTGTTTTATCTTATTTCTTGTGTTCGGATTTTGTCCTCTTGTGATGTCACAGTGGTATATATGTGCCTTAGATCTTACTTTCACACAACAGGGCCCGGTTTAAACTCTATACCAAGGGTAGCCAGAGCAGGTGAAACAAGACTACCCATTACTGTCCCAAAATCCTGTTGTATAACATGTATTATTTATAAGTGTGTGATAATATGACACATTGGTTCCACTTAATCCTGTATTTAAATATACTGTTTTTTCCATTTACTATTACGTTCGGCTGATACAGTTTTTTCGGTGGGTGTGTTTGTGAACACTCCGTTATGTAACAGTTCTCCGACCACTCTTTTGTGACTAAAGCTAATCCGATACCACGTATTTAACACATCAATATATGAATGGAAAAATAGTGCCGGGATATGAAGTACCAAGAAACAGTAAAGGAAAAACTTTGCTTGAAATAAGTCTGAAGAAGGTATACTGAACATACATATTTCGATTTTATAAAAGTGAGTAAATGTCGATCTTAATACAAAGGTACAGCGTACGTAAAGTGATTTAAACACAGAAAACCGGTTCTAAAAACTAGTGCAGTGGGAAAACGTTGGCCTTATAAGCCAATTTGTAACTTTTCGAATATATCATTGATAGGAATAATTATAAAGTCTACCAGTGTAATTAAAAAAAAAGATAATTGCTCATGTAAACATATATAGGGACTGAACAGTGTTTATCTAGGTGTTTATCCAGTGTTTTTCTTATGTTCATAATTCAGGAATGGCATACACTAACGTAAATATATCTGAAACAGGTTCAGACCCAGACGCCGCGTTATATGGACAATTAGTAGTTAGGTGGATATCCAATGGAATATTCAATTGAATAGTGGACATCCACGAAATTGAATATTTGACATTCGTGATTGTACTTGTTATAATATTAAAGGGGTCAGTAACATCAGAAAGAAACTTAATGTTTTGATCTTTAACGCTATTAACCCGTGTTTGATCCTACACTCATGTATTATGCATGAATAATTTGTCATTTCTGACAACAGGAAAACACAATAGCTTAAAAGTACAAACTCCTCATTCATATCGATCGTTAATTTCTGGCAGTAAACATATAATTCTATAAAATTCTATTAATTTTAAAATATGTGAAATAAGTTCCATTGACAAACCTCTCCAACTAAAAACTGAATGTATGGTAATAATCGAAGCTTAGTGTTTATCAACCATTATTAGCTGTTGTTATTCTGTTGTAGAAAACTATCAATTTAATGATATAGCCAGTTCTGTCATCAGAGATTTTCTATGGTTGAACCTCAATCAATGGGTGCTGGTCACTTATTGAATGATTTATGATCCGATAAGTAATTGCATAAAGTGAAGCCTTATATTACTTATTTCAGCGAACAATCGCTGTAAGTGTGAAAGGCCTTTAAACCGTTATTCTCTAAACTAGAAATATGACTTCCTTCTACTCAATATCTGTTCAGGGGACTCTGAGCTGACGATGTGCTGATTGTGTGTTTGTATACCACAATAATGGGTTTTTATGTTCAGAATTTCTTTGTCATCCGAGTCCTCAATGATATCCACCCAAACATACAGTGTGATGTGTATCTTGTGACTGATTGTTCTTTGTTAGTATTTTGTTTTTAAAAATTTAGCCTCTCAAATACTCTTCTGTTTGATTCATGTGTTAAATATTCTCCGGTAATTTTGATCATCATCGTCGTCGTCGTTGTCAACCATTTGGTTAAATGTCCATTCTTTTGATTTACGATATTGTTAGGAATTAATTTGTTTTGAACCGTTAATGTTAGCGCTTAACTCGACAAAAGACGACCTTGGTTCGTGGCGATAACGTCCGGCTCTTCACGCCTTACTTGACATTACAATACTGATTATTTGTTTACTCACTTGTGAAAATTAAATTTTGTCTAATTGTACGAGTTCCTGCCGAGAAGAAAAATAAATACTTGATACCTGTCACTGATTATTTGTTATCTGCTATTTTAGCATTAGTGTCTTTATATGTTGTTTATTGTAAAGAAGCTATTATTACTATCAAGGTGGTCACAGCGATTATTGCCGATTGCAATGTAGTGTAGTTAAATCTAGACAACACCATCATTTTTTCATGTCTGCCGAGTACACCTAAATATAATTGCGACCTTGTTCCTATATAAATAAACCCGACTGTAAAGCGAAATAGAAAGCAGAATGTATCACTGTGACAACAGAGAAGGACGAATATATACTACAGTGTCAACACAAAATGGCAAATTATTTCACATCGTCAACACAGTGCACACTTTATCCTATTATCAATAAAAAAGGAAAATTCACAAAAGATATTATTGTCAACGCAGGAAGACAAAATATATCACAGTATCAACAAAGAAGGATAATACATACCACAGTGTCATCACGAAAGGACAAAATATATCACAGTATCAACACAGAAGGATAACACATACCACATTGTCATCACAAAAGGACAGAATATATCACAGTATCAACATACAAGGACAGACTATATGACAGTATCAACACATAGGATAACACATTTCACAGTGTCATCATAAAAGGACAGAATATATCACAGTATCAACATACAAGGACAGACTATATGACAGTATCAACACATAAGGATAACACATTTCACAGTGTCATCATAAAAGGACAGAATATATCACAGTATCAACATACAAGGACAGACTATATGACAGTATCAACACATAAGGATAACACATTTCACAGTGTCATCATAAAAGGACAGAATATATCACAGTATTAACACAGAAGGATAACATATCCCACAGTGTCATCACAAAAGGACAAAACATATTACAGTATCAACACGGAAGGATAACACATATCACAGTGTCATCACAAAAGGACAGAATATATCACAGTATCAACATACAAGGACAGAATATATGACAGTATCAACACATAAGGATAACACATTTCACAGTGTCATCATAAAAGGACAGAATATATCACAGTACCAACACACAAGGACAGAATATATGACAGTATCAACACATAAGGATAACACGTACCACAGAGTCATCACAAAAGGACAAATATACATCACAGTATCAACACAGAAGGATAACACATACCACCGTGTCATTACGAAAGGACAAATATATATCACAGTATCAACACAGAATGATAACACGTACCACAGTGTCATCACAAAAGGACAAATATACATCACAGTATCAACACAGAAGGATAACACATACCACAGTGTCATCACAAAAGGACAAAATATATCACAGTATCAACACATAAGGATAACACATTTCACAGTGTCATCACAAAAGGACAAAACATAGCACAGTATCAACACAGAAGGATAACACTACCACAGTGTCATCACAAAAGGACAAAACATATTACAGTATCAACACAGAAGGATAACACTACCACATTGTCATCACAAAAGGACAGAATATATCACAGTATTAACACAGAAGGATAACATATACCACAGTGTCATCACAAAAGGACAAAACATAGCACAGTATCAACACAGAAGGATAACACATACAACAGGGTCATCACGAAAGGACAAAATATATCACAGTCTCAACACAGAAGGATAACACATACCACATTGGCATCACAAAAGGACAAAATATATCACAGTATCAACACATAAGGATAACACATTTCACAGTGTCATCATAAAAGGACAGAATATATCACAGTACCAACACACAAGGACAGAATATATGACAGTATCAACACATAAGGATAACACATTTCACAGTGTCATCACAAAAGGACAAAACATAGCACAGTATCAACACAGAAGGATAACACTACCACAGTGTCATCACAAAAGGACAAAACATATTACAGTATCAACACAGAAGGATAACACTACCACAGTGTCATCACAAAAGGACAAAACATATTACAGTATCAACACAGAAGGATAACACATATCACAGTGTCATCACAAAAGGACAGAATATATCACAGTATCAACATACAAGGACAAAATATATGACAGTATCAACACATAAGGATAACACATTTCACAGTGTCATCATAAAAGGACAGAATATATCACAGTACCAACACACAAGGACGGAATATATGACAGTATCAACACATAAGGATAACACGTACCACAGTGTCATCACAAAAGGACAAAACATATCACAGTACCAACACAGAATGATAACACATACCACAGTGTCATCACAAAAGGACAGAATATATCACAGTTTCAACACAGAAGGATAACACATACCACAGTGTCATTACGAAAGGACAAATATATATCACAGTATCAACACAGAATGATAACACTACCACAGTGTCATCACAAAAGGACAAATATATATCACAGTATCAACACAGAAGGATAACACATACCACAGTGTCATCATAAAAGGACAAAATTAGCACAGTTTGAACACAGAAGAAAAACACATACCACAGTATTATCACGAAAGAACAAAATCAAAACTCAAATTCAATACGGAGAAACATTAAAAGTAAAATGTATTGAACACCATGTAGAAGGACCCTATAGAAATCTTCCATACGAAAAACTGTCTAGTGACAACAGTTGTATGTGTGTCAGGTTAGGTGAGATAATGTCCGCATGTAGAGTGATCGCTGTAATTCCAAACATACCACCAGTTTTAGGACACTTTGAATGGAAAGGATTTCCTAACGGGCTTGCAAAATGTTGTTTAATATAGAAACTAAAAGAAACGACATTTTAATAAAATGAACGTTTATGTTTATTTCCAAAGAGACAGTAAAACACAAAAGATTAATCAATCGACGCAATAGCGTCATACAAGTCAATAATTTCACAGAGCAATGTGTAGTTTCCGATTGCCAATGTCCTTTTGAACCCGTTTGGTACTGGTATATTACAGTCAATCTTTTAACTCCTATCAACAAGTTGTATTTGTTAGGATTTTTCTCCTTAATATGTGAGAAAGTGATAGTTGTAACCGGCTCTCAAATACACTATTAGTTAGTCAGAATTCGTCTATCCATTATGATGGTAACTGTCAGCTGGGGATTCCCTCAATACACCAGTAACTGCTGCGCAGATTCCATCAAGATGAATTTGTTCGTCTCTGCCTACCCCCAGAAAATGTTGAAACGGTATAGTGTTCTATTCATCTGGTATATACACATCATTTTGTTTCTGAAATAGAACGTTTTGAAATATGAGTTACGATAACCAACTACTAGTAAATCGTAAATGATGCATTCTGTACATATACTTTGTTAAAAAATTATCTTTGACACGTTTTAAAGCTGAAATCACTACGTATATAAATACCCCGAAGACAAGTATGATCGTTTTTGTTAGTTCCTTATCGGATGGAAGGTTTAGGTGATAACCTGTTTTTGAATGAGATTTCTTATTACTGAACCTACCAAAGCACTTGTGTACTAGTACACTCTTGGTACAGACCTAATAATGTATTAAATGACAGCTATTTCGATATGAAACAAATATGTTGGAAACACGGTCATTTAATGATAATCCATACATATATAAGTTTCAAATGTAAAAACTAACGTAAGTGTAAAGCAGAAAAACTAGCCAACAAGTATCAAAGCAAATGAAAGTGTAAATCAGTTTAGCCTACAAGTATCAAAGCAAACGAAAGTGTAAATCAGTTTAGCCTACAAGTATCAAAGCAAATGAAAGTGTAAATCAGTTTATCCTACAAGTAACAAAACTAACGTTTTGGTAAAACAGTTTAGCCTACAAGTAACAAAGCTAACGTTTTGGTAAAACAGTCTTGACTTCAAGTATTAAAGCTAACGATAGTGTAAAACATTCTAATCTATAAAAATCAAACCTTATGTTTGGATACAATATCCTAACTAAACAGTCTAGTCTACAAGTATCAGAACTAACATTTGTGTAAAACATCCTAACTTACAAGTTTTAAAACTAACTTAGTGTAAAACAGTCTAATCTACAAGTATCATAACTTATGTTTTGGTTAAACAGTCAAGTCTACAAGTAACAAATCTTACGTTTGGGCAAAAGAGTCAAGCCTACAAGTATCAAAGCTTACTTTTTTTGTGAAACAGTCTAGCCTGCAAGTATCAAAGTTCACGTTAGTGTAAAACAGTCTAATCTTCAAGTATCAAAGTTAACATTTGTGTAAAACAGTATCAAAGCAAACGAAAGTGTAAACTTATTTTTATACAATTATCATTAGTTGTTCGCATGAAAGACCTACATTCTGATCGCACACAAAGACAAAAACATGGGCCACCATTTCTTAATTCTTCCATCTTAAAAAGGTTAAGTCAATTAATATATTATCGAACATGTATATATGGAATGCTTTTATGTAGTCATTGAATTCAAATTTTAACTTCACACTTTCTTCATGCTTTAAGAAATACAAATTCAGACAGATATTTTACGTAAATTCGCGAATTCGACGTTACACATTATACTGTTAACATAACATATGTTTTATCGTGACAAGATAACATGGATACGTACTAAGTGGGTCATGCACGTTGAATTCCTGTCCCCAGACGCCAGCCCACTTGTTATAGTCCAAAACCGGCTTGATACCCTTAGATGTATTAGCCCTGATCCTCGGGGACGTGTAATTGTACCCCAGACCATCCCGAACTGTGTCTAAAATGTCCATAGCACTTTGGAGGCGGTACGACAAAACTAGCTGTTTTTCCCGTGGGATAACACTAGGTAAACTGTTCGCACGAGACAAGGTCGAGTCGACAGACACGGTTCCTGAAGGAGCAAGACTTCTAGACCGACCAATCTTATTAAGACTAATTGATGGTACGGGCATAGACGCCCGTCTCGACATATTTGCTGAACGAGGAGGCGAGAAATTAAACGACGGACCTGTTAAAGGAGAATCGTTAGAGGAGCCTTGAGAAGCAGTATCACTCTCCTCGCGTTCAGAGTCATGTCTTAATGGTAATTCTTGATTTGAGTCCTGGTCTTCCTTATTTATCACCTTCCGTGTATCTTCTTTGTTCCGTAGATCGACATTAGAAATAGGTGTTCTGTTTCTTCGTAGGGAAGGCCTCTGCTCTGGGTACTTTTTACATAAGCAGTTATATATAGTGTCCTCATATCCTTTCATCATGGCGTACTGCGCCTCTGGTGACATCATTGTGGAGAAGCGTGGTTCCTTTGGTAGTTCTATGATCAAATCCTCCTCTTCATCATCCACAGGATTATCCCGCGGCCTCTTGTTATGACTTTTAAAAGCCATCTTAGCTTTAAGAACAGTCGAGAACTTCCCCATCCCTTTAAATGATGCTTTTTTTACTAGACCCCCTCCATTGGTTATTGACGACCTTCGTACGGTCGTTATCGGACAGATTGTTTGATGGTCCTGTTTGAAGGTTACAGTGCCAGCTTCATGGTTTACTGTTTTCGGTGATATTGGATAGGCCTGTTGGGATTTTTTGAGAAGATGTTCTTCGGCGATGGGAGGGAAAATTCCCACGCTGGCGGTCTTATTCCGGGGAGAGATACTCTTCGGTTTTACGATCTGCTGAGGACCTTTGTCGATTGTGATAGTAAGTTTTGGATTACGACTCTTTCCATCGGGCGACGGGAGGCCTTTCACAATATCAGTATTGGGAATCATGTTTCACTACATCAGTCTATAATTATCCTATGATTACAGTTTTCCTGCCAACTGTAGTTATACTTTACCAAACAATGTCTAACTGTAGTATTTTCTCTACACAGAAACGTGGTCAGTAAAGTCCATTCACTATACAGAATGCGGCAACACATTCATAGATAAGTACCTGTAGCGTTAAGTCAGCCAGGTATATACCTCATCAAGTGACCGTTACGTGTGTTTGCATATAATCCGTTAATCCTTTGATCAAATTATACGACTTAACGTAAAGCGCACTGTAGTGTCTGTCCCGACTGGTGTGCGTACATATATATATACACCCAGTCCCGTCATAACGTCTCATTATTATTATGAGTAAACACGTTATTGATTCTGGCCGCTGATTGGAGGCGATAGGAGAAATGCATTCCGAACAGTCAGCTTATATATGTATGTAAAGCACCGAAAGACTAGAATGTGACATATTTACAATACTGGTAATGACGGAGGTTTAACATCGCACGTCGATTGATTCTCTGTCATTCTCGGGTACGGCCTGCTGATATGATGGGTATCATTATAGCGGAGTTATTAGCCGTAACAACTATTTATCGTCTCCTCGTTCTCAATCACCATAACTCAACCAAGCGACAAGAATATGACATACTTCATATACATATATATTTGTTTGTAAATATTTAGGAATATATCAGTATTAACGTCTATTTCAAAATGATTAAATAAGTAAAGTTCATATCTCGAAATTGTTTACAGAATATGTGACCGAACACGTCTCAACCATTGCTATGTCGTACTTCAACTGCAGCCATGTCTTGTTAGTGATGAGATTGGTCCCCCGGCATCCTTGTCACTCATTGAAGTCCCGATGTCACCTGCTATTCCTGTTCTATCATTACTGAAGCCTTTACTGCCATTTACATATATAATCAGGTCATGTCGATTTCTCGTAAAATGTGGGTTACGCAGATTGTCGATTTTGAAGCCTGATATTCATGGTATTATTTATTTCAAGACAAATTAACATTACGGGAATAGGGTCCATGGATCAATTATTGCGGTTTTTATGATTCCTTATTCCATTTCGTTAATGCAAGTCGAGTCAGCAGCAAAATAGCTTATAATTATGGGGTATTCTTGAACCTCGACGAACGCAATTAATGCACAGGTTTTACCTCTTAGTAAATCGGAAAGACCGTGTGACATGAAACGATATTATTTTAAACTACTTTAAATACCATTTTGCTATTTCTGACTCTTTATTTCATTAGTCGTTTTAGCTTCAAAGGGGAAATATTACCACGCGTTAATGGAAGAAATGTCTTTTGCCAATTGACAATCAGATCATGAACAAATATTCTTGTAAGGAAATCTCATGAATTCAAAATACAATTGGTTTGTCATAACTTCCGACTGACTGTATAAACACCGATCTCGTCATTGTGTTTACGATTGATTTTAATACCATATACGTTCATTCATACGTTTAAACTAATGGCACTTAAAATATGTGTTTCCCTCCTAATTACCTGGGTGGCATTAACCTTCAACACAACAACAAATCAAAAAACAACAACAAAGCCATTTATATATAACAACTTTGTTTCTGTATCAAAACGAATATTCACCGTACGTGTTAGCCGTATTATGTCATTATCATTGTTATTATTTTCTGTTAATGTTGTAATAAGGATTTATATATTATATAAGTTTATACTGTTAGAAAATGTTTTATTACGTATATTTTATATATATGTAGAAATAGTCATACGTTTCGGTTTATAATTTGCATCACCCATAAACAAGTTCTCAGTTCATTATGTATAACACAGGTACAAAATGTACGTGTCCTTGATCATACGTCTTTACATACAGCAATATACCGGAGTAATAATGTTCATGATACGTGATGTAGTTCAGCAATATAGCCGATATTTTATGAAATGTTGGGAGAACAAATCCCACTCTTATCGTTGAGAATACTAATTGTTGATTGTTTTGGTAACTTTTTCCTCCACTGTCCTCTTTTTAGTATCCAAAGACAACAACTCTCGCTTCATACCATCTCTGCACTGAGTGATACTACTATGCAAAATACTCAAACGTTTCTTTATGGTTAACAGACTCGAGGCGATAATATGAACATAAATAAATTGGAGACGGTTAAGAGTCACCAGACGTTTTAGTAGATTTTAAAGATTCTCAGCAAAATATCATTACATTATTTGTCGTATTCTGCTCATTTGGCCAGCTGGAATGGTCCCAGTGTGAGTGAACGGACAACTGGTCTGTGTTTGTGTTCAGTTCATGCATGGCCATCAGACTGATATCATGACAGCGTTGCGGTAATATGAAGATAAAATGTTAAAAAAATATGAATATGATATTTATATAATGTTCAATATGGTAGGGAGAGGCCTCCGACTTTAACTGTTTATCATGCACTTGAGATTGTATAATAAAATGAAATGAAATGTTGTTTGGTTAAATACGAGATATGTTTATTAGTGCCACATGTGTTTCCGCCTACATGTTTGGATTTGGTATCGGTTCTAATTAATAAGAATGTCTGTGTTTCGTTTTGGCTGAGATGTCCTCAAGCAATGCAGGTTGTTGTCCTGTCGCCTTCCAATTCTGTGTGTTGATTGTTGTGTATGATTATTCTATTTACCTTACATTGTCTGATTCAATATGAGCACACATTTTAATGGCTAACTGACATTTAATATTAAAAAAAACCTGAACATATTTGATTTTCAGGAGAATATTTAGGATTTCAACTACCTTTAAACGCAATATGCATTACGACTGACCAGGGCAAACGACGAGCCACTCTTCTCCTTACTTATTTCTGCATGATTATTTTTTGGAACGTTTTAGGTATGGGATTTAAGTCTGTTGCCTTTAGAACCACTGATGAGACCTAAAATTAACATATGGCTATATGCTGCAGTAAAATGTGTTTACGTCGATTGCCTTTCTGTATCGACACAAAATAAATGTGTAAATAGGGACTTTCTTTCTCGTATTCCTAATAATACTTTAACACCATAAGGTGGTTGACACTACAGGCGGACTATCAGTTGGCCGCAACTTTGTAGCCAGAATGTATAATGGCACGGATTGACTGAAATGCTAATTTAACTATAACTTGTCATCTACTGTATCCAGAATTGTAGTTGTAAAGCTGTAATGTTTAAAAGTGTTCTGTAGGCACATTCCCCATTTTTTTTTTATGTATTTCCACATAGGTTTTTGAACAGTAAGACATGCATTTAAATTTGTTTTGAACTTGACTACCGTTAGTAATTCCTAAATGGTCAAAACGGCATGGTGTAGTAATAAATGTTTACCTTGGATATCTGCACTGACATATTGTCTTTTTATTTAATATGTGCGTCCTTCTTTGTATTTCTAGTGATTATTTTGATTGATATGATTATTTTTGTTGAACTAACTTTTTATTGACTATATTATTGTTCCAATCTTCCTAGATCCGAAGGCGTTGGTTTTGTCCTGGGAATTCATAATTCCTTCCAGGAAATTCCATATGCATTTTGAACATGATGTTTGTGTGACTAAGATTGATCTTGGTGTTGATGAAGACACGTTCTAATTACTGGTATTTCTGATATTCACAGCATATTTGTTTGACTAATCCCCATGGTATAAAACACACCTTTTCACCTCGGAATTCCAATATGTTTTACGTTGTTGCCAATATACGAAATAGAGCGAGTCTTTAAGGGCGCATTCAAATGTATAAATGCAATAATGGAAAAGCAATATTCTAAACAATGAACTGCATGACTAAGGGCGGAACAGAGTTTAGCTTTGTTCGAGATTATTCTTTGACCCAGTTATGCAGGAGAACTGAATCAACATGGACACGAATAATATCAGAAACAACACAGGTCGATATTATCAATAAGTAATAAAATATATGATTGTGTCACATATAAATCCCCATGGTATGTCATTGTTGATCAATCTGGTCTGGCTTTGTTTGAGTGCCCGGTATATGGCAGCCATCTCTTACAATCGATCTGTAACGTCAATATTGTTATGAGTCTGGGTTTCCAGGCTTCCTGGCTGTCAGTGTTTATTTGTGTGTCAATACATTTTTTAAATCAGCGTGTCCAGGATGCAGTAACGACACAGAGCTATAGTTACAGACCCTGATCGAGATATATTGGCGTTTGGATCAACACGTGATGACAATGCGGTATTGTGATGGGTATATACAGTTATATAAAGTTTATTGCTCGTAGCAAATCCTCATTTAGCAAAACATTCAACATAAATACCCCAATGGCATGATTCAGATTGTTGGTATTATATATCATCTTCATACCAGTTTTTGCAAAAACGATTACCTTTGACCGGGGTATAATGATTTCACATACAAATATCTTCCTTCGAGACCATTTCCTAAACCAAACAGGCTTTGTAGAGTTAATATCCTGCTTGTGAACCCATATATAGACCCTTGCACAAACATCCCTAATATGCAATTTACTGACCCTTTAACTTTTTGTACTGTGTACTTGCAGATTCAACATAAGAGTCTGAACACAGTGGTATTAAGTATATTTACCCTAGATGAAAATGAGTGAAGTACATCAATTGGGAAATAAGCCAAGACATAAAATTGTCGATTATCCCATGTGCAATAACATTGGCTGGTCGCTATTACTCTAGGTTGTTCATCAACGTATCATTCACCAGTATTGCCATCAGTGGTAAACAATCAGAGCTAATGACTGTAAAGGTAGGTGTACCTGTCGCGGAGATCACATGTAGCATTACCTGTGGATGGTGTAACAGGTCCACACAATCAGCAGATCAAACACCGGTCTGGGACCGGGACCTTCTCGGGGCATTGATAATTCATTGTCGTGTCTTTGATCATCATCAGCGGAAATTAACAAATTGTGATTTAATCGCTATTTGTTCTACATTGTGTCACGATACTTGGCACTTTGTACATACATAGGTGATTTTGGATAATGATATAGAACGCGTGAAACGTTTCTAGATATACAAACTACTATTAATACTATTTTAAACAGAAATGTGATGTAGAAAACGGTCCAAAGCATGTCATACTTGGATTGAAGTACAAGGTACCTTATAACAGTCAGCGTGAACTCCAAATGGACGTTGATGATTACAGACCAGAACCAGAACAATTGAAATCAAAGTAAAGTAAAATAGAGTCTGCTACAACACAAGGAGGACTAGTACAAATCAGAAAAAGAAAGATGTATATCCTCATTGGCTCATTATCTCACATGCTTCTAT